CTCTCTCTCTCTCTCTCTCTCTCTCTCTCTCTCTCTCTCTCTCTCGTATCCTATTACTGCACCTTGCTAACTCAGCCATTCTGGATGTCACTAACTCAGGTTCTTCTCCGGAGCCTTTGTGCTCCACTGTCTCTCAGATTAACTCATATTGCAGCGGTGCCTGGATAGCGTGACGTGTGTGGTTGTGCTGCTGCCGTGGTCCTGCCAGATGCCTCCTGCTGCTGCTGCCATCATTAGTCATTAATCCATCAGCTTATTAATAGCATTTTAACCTAAGCAAAGAAAAGTGTAAAATTTCCAGAAAGGTAAGTGTTGCTTAATTGATTAATTAGTCTTCCTACAGCATTAGTGTGCCATTTAAATCCAGCACTGAAAAGGCAGACTCCACTGGTAACTGGTGTAGAGAGGTAGCTACTGAATGGCTACTGAAAAGAATGCTGGTCCCAGATAGATTCATAAATGAGGTTTGATGTGATGAAAATCTTAGGGATTGTAAGTTTGATTTGCCATCATGAATTTGTTCACATACTTTGAGCAGGACAGAATAACACAGCGTCTGAGAGTTGTAATGTTCCTCTCCAGTCAGGATAGCTTTCCATTACAAGTTGCTTGTGACCTTTTTCAGGCGAGGCACTCTGTGGGAAAGCTCTCTGAGACAAGAAGGTCACACTTTGAAAAGCATCATTACACTGACGAGGGATTGTTGTGTAGGGTGTATTCTTATTGAAATGATGAGGTCAAGATGACAGACTGGTCTGATTATACTGACCACATGGGACTAACTTTTAGACTGGTGTTCTACTTTTGCATTTGCTTTTAATACAAGTAATCTTACTTTTACTTGCATATGATTTAAAGTGACACTCCATGCTGTGCTTCCATATTATAGTAAATACCAACATTTCTCAGTTGCAAACTTCAACAGGAAATATGACCACGATTGAGTAAAAATCCATCATACTGGGTGTGATTTCAGCTTGTCATACAGGGTGTTTGTAACAGGGTGATGAATCTGACCTGGCTCCGATCAGAGATAGGAAGGGTCTCTTGTCCTTGTCATTCGCCTGGGTGGTCTTTACTCCATTATCAAGGATCATTCCTGCCTGGTACAAACAAAAAAAAAACTACATGATCAAGCAGTCAGGGATGAGGAACAACAATGATAAAGAATAAAGCAATGTAAGACACTCAAGGTTTGACGTACCAACGACCTTCAGGGACCTTCAGACACCAGTCAGACTGTTTGTTCACATTTTCTTTTCTTTTTTTTTAAGATTAATTGTTTGCCTTTATTTGACAGGACAGCTTAACCAAACACACACACACACACACACACACATACACACACAGCTTATGTTCACTTCAAACATAGTTTAAATACCAATGATGTGCTTTAACAATTTAATTCATTCATAAAAATTGGGGCGTGGCTTTACTGCAGTCCACTTTAGATGATGTTGAACACTGAGACTGGCTAACATCCCCTCAAAAAAGTCTGTGCACTTGGGTGGAGTCAGTTGACAGTATAATAAAGATTATAGATCTAGACATTCCAGAAAGGTTATGTCCATCGAAATGGATAGGGGATATGAACAGGTTAAGAGTGAAAGGGGGAGAGAGGGGATGACATGCAGCAAACGACCAAAGGTTGGAATTGAACCCCGGGGCCGCTGCAGCAAGGACACAGCCTTTGGTACCTGGGGCGTCCCCTCTACCAGGTGAGCTAATAATCACCCCTTTTTCATGTATTCCATTGGGCTGGAACCAAACTTGTCTCCAATGTTGGTGTTAAATGACTATGAATATTATGTTAACTCTACAGACTTCCATCTCAGGTTGCACTCTAGTTTTCAGAATTTCTATGCGGCACCTGACCATTTAGTTCAGCTGAAACAGTTATTTTCACTTCATGGGAAGAGTGTTTCGTGAAACATTTTGATTGGCTTCTTTGTTTGTAAATCAGGTTCAGTAGCAGAGGACATAAACTCTTCTTTTGCAGCCCTTTGTAGACACATGTTGAACAGCACAACATCAGTTCTTAATTAGCAGCAGCATTCAGATTATATTAGCTGCAGCTGCTCTCATTTCCCAGAACTGAATTCAAAATCCTACTGTTAACTTACAAAGCTTTAAAAGGTCAGGCTCCGTCATATCTTAGAGAGCTCATAGTGCCTTATTATCCCACCAGAACACTGCGCCCTGAGAATGCAGCGTTACTAGTGGTCGCTAAACTCTCCAAAAGTAGATCAGGAGCAAGAGCCTTCAGCTATCAGGCTCCTCTCCTGTGGAATCATCTTCCTGTTACGGTCCGGGAGGCAGACACCGTCTCCACATTTAAGACTAGACTTAAGACTTTCCTCTTTGATAAAGCTTATAGTTAGGGCTGGCTCAGGCTTGCCTTGTACCAGACCCTAGTTCGGCTGACTTAGGCCAAGTCTGCCGGGGACCTCCTATAATACACCGAGCACCTTCTCTCTCTCTCTCTGTCCTTTGCTAACACTCATGTCCTGTTACTGCATGTCACTAACTCGGCTTCTTCTCCGGAACCTTTGTGCTCCACTGTCTCGCAGGTTAACTTATATCGCAGTGGTGCCTTGATAGTGTGATATGTGTGGTTGTGCTGCTGCCGTGGTCCTGCCAGATGCCTCCTGCTGCTGCTGCCATCATTAATCATACTTCTACTGTTATTATACACATATGATTATTGTCACACATGTATACTGCCAGATATTAATATATACTTTCACCATATTGTACCACAATAGCAGTAATTATTATAATATTATTGCTTTAATTAATGTTGTTGTAAGCTACTGTCATTACTGTCTGTCCTGCATCTCTCTCGGTCTCACTTTCTGTCTCATTGTGTCATACGGATTACTGTTAATTTATTATGCTGATCTCTTCTGTACGACATCTATTGCACGTCTGTCTGTCCTGGAAGACGGATCCCTCCTCAGCTGCTCTTCCTGAGGTTTCTACCATTTTTTTTTCCCCCGTTAAAGGGGTTTCTTTGGGGAGTTTTTCCTTATCCACTGCGAGGGTCCTAAGGACAGAGGAATGTCTTATGCTGTAAAGTCCTGTGAGGCAAATTGTGATTTGTGATATTGGGCTTTATAAATACAATTGACTGATTGAATGATTGATTGATTGATTGATTTATAAATGTCATCAGTCTTAATGAACATGCTGCTCAGTGTTGTGGTCCTTTCAGTGTAAATTCAATAAAGCTGTCTACTAACCCCTCCCCTGCTCACGTCTCGCTCTGGTTCTAAGTGGCTGTAGGTAGCTGCTGTCATCTCAAAAATGTAGATATCTTTTATAATGTCATAAAGAGGACTGTAACTTTTTGTGTGTGTGATAGTTTAAATCAGCATTAAGGATTCTTTAATGAAAAAAGCGCATAAAGGCTCTAAACGAACTGCCAGCCAAAAATATAAGAGCAAAAGTATGAGATTAGAATAGCTTGTCTATCTGTCTACCCTCAGATCAATGTCAGATCATAAGACAATGCTAGAATACCTGGCTCCATTAGTTACTTTGAGTAATGACCTATATCAAATTACAATAAGTTAGTATATCATTAACTAACTATATTTGTATTTAGGGTTACAAGTTACATCATTACATTTACCTGTTCAGGACTGATTCGTTCACTGTGTGGGAGCTGGTCTGCAGCTCCTGCAGCTCCTGCTCCTGCTCTCTGATGGGTTTATGGAGGTTTGCCTGACATGCTGTTGCCACATTAATCAATCTGTCCTCAGCCTCAAATTCTTCTCTTACGTAAAACAAAAGTAAAACACACTGAGTCTCATTCATGAAATGTTAGTAAATCTGTGAGTAGATTTACACATAAAGAACCATGGCACTAAAAACCTACACTGGACTCATGAATGCTGCAGAAAACTCAGATTTGATCATGTGTGTGGCACATGTGTATGTTCATGAATGTCAATCAATTGTAAGTTGACAGCGTGCTCCCGCTAGTTAGCAATAAAGCATACATCCCTGCCCATGAATAGTCAGAAACCAACATATGAGGAGATCATAATAACTATGGATAGGTGCATCCTGTCAAACTGTGATCATGGAGCAACTGTGAACATGGAGCAAACACAGAGAGAGAGAAAGAAAAACTTTTCCGATGCTGAGAGAGAAGTTATTTTCGGTGAAGTGTTTTGTTATAGTGGTGTGACAGGGACAGGTAAATCAAAGGCCTGGAAGGAGGTAACAGGTGCTATTAACTCCACGTCCTCTGTTGTAAGAACCATCAAAGAAGTTAAGCAAAAATGGTTCGATATGAAAATTGATGTTAAAAAAAAAAAAGTACACACAAAAAACAGCTACAGGAGGCTCTTCCCAGTCACAGCTGTCTGCTGAGACCTTTCTGTCAGGGGAGACAGCAACATGCCTCCACTGGAGCAGTCAACCGCAAACCCAGAAGGTACATGGGTCTCACAGTCTCGCCACTCAAACAGAAGATACATGTTTGGAGTTCTCGCTGATTGATGCAAGTGGGAACGGGATGCCAGAAATGTAGAAAACACATGTATTAGGTCAATTTAGATCACCCTTTTACATTTTTAAGAAACCTAATCTGAAGCTAAAATCTGCTAACTGCCAACTTATTTGGCTAAATGTGATAAATTTCTAATCCTCTGTAGAGCTTAGATCTGGCCCAAAAAATGCAGCCCGACCCAGCTCGAGCCCGTGCACGTTATGTCCGGGACCGGACCGGCCGGTCAAATTAACTGTAATTATGGGCCCGAGCCCGACTTAAACTAGACATTTTTCAATAAGTTGGCTGTTGTAATTAACGCTAAGGACACACCGAGCGCCTTAGTGCCGCGGAAGTCGCTTGACTGTCCACACAGGCAGCGCATTTCTCCTGCGCTCTCCGCGCCGGTTAAACATCGACTCCACTCGTCTGTTCCTGTCATTTCACTTCAACAGGTCATTTTAAACATGGGTAAATCCATATTGTCATTGTTTTTTATAATGTAATAAGTTAATGACAATTTGTCATTGCATGTCCATGTATTGAGCGTGTTGGGTAAACACTGAATTAATAGGGCATATTTTTTGGAGGCATGGAAAGCCGCTGTCCCTCCCACTTTTCTCTACCCCCCCCTTCTGTATGTGTGAATTGCAACCCCCAACCTGTAGCCATTTCTCTCTCTCTCTCTCTCATATCTGAACAGGCCCGGCCTGGGCCCGTCAGAGGGGTGGGGGCTAAGCTCTAATCCTCTGTCATGTTTAACTTACAAGTTTCAAAGGCATCTACATATTGTGAGCATAAAGGAGCACAAAAAAATTAAAATTGTAATTTTTAATACTGACAAGCCATATTTGTGTGCAATCCTTGTTTACACAAGCACTATGAGCAGTCAGAAGCAGGTGTAGATTTTGTTAGTAACTACAAAAAGATAAAAAGACAGCAAGAGATGGAGTTTCTAACCAACTTACTTAGTTGATATATGTCATATGTCATGTGGGTTTTATTTAGTAAAAGGGGTAGGTGAGAGTCATTAGGCAATGTGCAAGCTGGATAACTATTAGATTAAGCTAAAAGGCACTTAAGGCTGCAAAGAACTGCAGAGTTGGATATGATTCTGAGTAGGTTTGACAATAGCAACCTTTCCACATTACATGTGACCATTTGAATATCAGAAATATTGCTTCATATTATTTAAGTTAGGGTAACACAGCACATTTAGAGGTAACTGGGATACATCACTGACTTTAAAGTAGGGATATTGGATATTGGATTTTGCTAATATTTAATATGCCGATATATAACAACACATTGGCCGATAACCAATATTGATATATACACTTTTTTTCCCACCTAATTTTAGTGATCATCAAGTATCTTCTGTAGTGGTATTAACATCATATTATGCTCTTCTCGTGATGCCCCAACAGCTGATGGAGACATGAAATAGAATGCTTTTCAGTGTATGTAATATTCATTCATTGGGCAAAATAAGGAAAAGCATGTTGGCAGATTATAATAACTCATTTTCAGTCTAATATTGGCAGATACCGATGTCATGCTGATACTATCGTGCATCCCTACTTTAAAGGAATACTTTACTATTACTATACTAACCATTAAATGACCATGCATATATCAGTTAGTCATGCCATGTTACCTTGAATTTCTGAATTTTCTGGAATTCCTCCACAGAAAACAGTAAACAATTTGCTTTACTGATTGATCGGGGACCACATTCAACAACAGCAAAACTATATCAAAACATCAGTTTACAAACTCACAACATATGCATTACAGGGACTACAGATGCGAATTAGCTTGTAGCTATAATCTGGTACGGTGCATCAAATGGTGACATTTATGTTTGAGCTGTACATTGTCCCTTTTAAATAAAAATAAAATGAAGACGGAGCACCTGCTGCAGCAAGTGAACACACCATCTGTGGTCATCTTGACTTGACCAGTTGACTTCACTACAAACCGGCTGTAGAAACAGGTGACATGCTTTACATTCTAAAACCAGCCACCGGCGATTTGACCAGCTGAGTTGCAGGTGGCATCATCAGCCAGCTTCAGTCAGTTCACACCGCTGCAACTTTTCTCTAAAACGTACTTAAACACTTTTGTCTTGTCTCGAATCATTGGTCTGAACTGGGCTTAAAGAACGATACTATAAAAATTTTCTAGACAAAAAGTACAGATAGTCTTAATGATAAAAACCATCCTGGGCCAGTTTGCTACTTCAAAACACAGACACAACCGCTGTGTTGCTGCTCTAACACAATGTCTTCTCACCCAAATATCCTGGCAGCCTGACATGAGTTATGCTCCCATTAAGATGATCCAAATTAGAAGTGAAGTGGGATGGTAGGGAAAAGAACTCACTGTTGAGTGCAGAGAAGGGAGGGTGATAACAATGATACTTCCTGTCCACCAGCACCTCATATATCTCTCTCTGCTTGAGTGGCGCTGTGCTGTGTTGTGCTCGATGCCACAGGCGCCTCCAAACTCTGTCCTCACAGTTTAATCTGTCTCTTTTGGCTGACCTTCTTCTGTTTCTTTGTCTGGCCTTGATTTTGTTATTCTCACTATTCATCTATTGCTTGTCCTGTCTTTGTCACTTAGCAGATCACATCCTACATAGTTCTTACTGATGTTATGTCTTTCATATTCAAAATGAATGCAGATGAAGTATATTTCTTGAAAACAAAAACTGGAAGTAATTAGTTTCAAACTTATCAAACTGCTGCATTAGCTGCTGGGTTTCAGCCTTGGTAAAACCTTGTAAAAACATTACTAATAAACCATTAATGAACATTTGTAGGTCACTGATAAACTGACTTATAGAATGCCATGGAAAAAGTAAGTATGTTCTCAGACTCACCCTGTAGTTGGAATGGGCTCTGTTGTTGGTGAATTGGCCCATAGGTGTGTGCTCAGTACGTCCAGGGGAATACAGCCCCTCTGAGGGACCAGTGGGCACATGGTGGAAGATGAACCAGAAACCTGTTTCCTGAGGGATCACACACAAACATATATATATATATACATACACACACACACACACACACACACACACACATATATATACATATATACATATACATATACATATAAAAGAGGCCATGAATAATTTTTAAGAATCTGTGCAAATGAGTATTTTCATATCTTTTCATTGGATTTTTGTTTATAAATAAGCACAAGCACACACATAACTACAGCCCCAGCCTTGCCATTCTTTGTGTCAGCCTGTCTATTTTCGTGTTGTTCTTTGCAGGTATGCAAATGAGAATGATTATTACATTGGTGAGGATAAATGAGACTCTGTTCCACCTGATGAATCCTTGTAAAATCCCATAAGTACAATTATAATTGGCACTGTGTCATAGTGAAAGTGCAGCAGTGGCTGTGTCTGTTGTCTGCTTTATTCTGAAGTTAATAGGAGTACACAGCCATTAATCTGCCCTGGCAACACTGTAATGAGACAGACCTCCAACTGGAGAGAGAGGAGGGGAGGAGGCAGAAAAGGAAGAGAGAGGTGAGAAGTCAGAGTTAGAAACTCACCTCTGAGCCTGCAGCAGCACAGTTGATGAGGTTGTTACTGGGGTTGGCGATCCAGAAAGTTGAAGTTGCACTTTATAGAGAGTGGTGGAAATGAAGAAGTGAAAAAGGTTTGGTTATTGGATTTTTAATAAATGGTTTGAGTCAATGATGTAGTAAATAAAGAAAGGGTGATCACTGCCTCTGAAATATCAACAGTAACTGTGGAAGAGAAAATGACTTATGAGTTTTTGTATTCACATCAGTGCTATTGGTGCGCAAATGGACTATATCGTTTCATTGCATATGGGGAATATTTTTTTTTTTACATTTTACAGTTTTCCTATTGCTGTTACCTTGGAAAATCCAATAGCATTTTTTTTTTAAACACCAGCATCTTTTTAATTTAAGGCAAAGGTTTCATCACTGCCGGTCCTTTAGCTACACTCTTTCCTTATCCGTATGACGTCAGTCAGAAATGATCACAACAAAGAACAGAAAAGCCCATCTGTGGGAGCAGATCTGCCAGACACTTTATGTTGCTGGTAAGTGTTGTACTGTTATCACTGTAATGTTGTATGCTCGTTGCTAACTGTGTAGTCAAACCTCTGTTAACGTAGCATTACATCAGCTACCTAGCTAACATTAATGTCAAGATATCATTGTCCAACGCATTCTCATTCCCACCTCTACACATATTGACGTTTGGTCATGGACTTTCCACATCGAGATATGACGTGCAAGGTACCCTGGGTACACTGGATGTTAACGTTCTGGGACGCTATGCCAACTTCAGCCTCTTATTGTCTGTTTTCAAATTATACTTCTGTTTTCACAGTAAATTTACAGTTGGCATATAGTCTCTTTAAAGTGCACTACATTGGTACAACACTGTGAATTGACTTTTTTTCTTTCAACAAAAACACACATGGTTACATTGAGCTAACACATATGAGTTTAGGCAACAAAAATAAGTGGTTGGGTTTAGAAAAAAAGAACAGGGTTTGGCTTTACAATCTTATGGGAAGCAAACACTGGCCTCCCTGTTGTTGGACCTATCCAGCACCCCTCCCACCTGCCCCATTCAGACTTCCACCCCTTTAACTACCATGCCAATGTGAAAGGACGGCTCTTTTCGTCAGTGTCTGATGCCGGAAGTAACTGCCCAAGTGCCGGTATTCTGTGACTTTGGAGTAGGACTGGGTTGTGTTGTCGTAGAAACAAAACCTATGAATAATGCATCATTTAAAGAAGTGCTGGGAGCACTTTTTTTATGAAGTGCTGGGATGAAGTGCTCCCGAGGACTCTGCCACTGCTTTTCTGCCAAAGAAATAAACACTATGTGGACGCATGCTCTTAATTTTTGAATATTTGTATAAATGCAGCCCTGTGATAGTCTGGTGACCTGTCCAGGGTGTACCCCGCCTCTTGTCCAGTGTCAGCTGGGATAGGCCCCAGCCCCCCAGAGAGCGGTTACGGAATGAATGTACATATGTCCTAAGTCCTATAAACCGCAAGCAAGGAAAAAAAAATGCTTTTTATTATTTTGCTTTGTATACCACAATGATGTCACATGACCTTACAAGTAGTTGTACATGAAAATCTAAAAGGAGAAGTAAATAAGATTTAAAATTTTTAGGGTGTTACTTATTTTTCAACACACACAGAACAATTTGTGTTTCCAGTATCATTATAGTTTCCATTGCTATGTGGATGATACACAATTGTATTTATCGATGAAGCCAGAAGAAACTAATCAATTAACTAAACTTGAAAATTGAGTTAAAGACATAAAAACCTGGATGAGCACCAATTTCCTGATATTAAATTCAGACAAAACTGAAGTTATTGTTCTTGGCCCCAAACACCTCAGAGACTCTTTATCTGATGACATAGTTTCTCTGGATGGCATTGCTCTGGCCTCTAGCACTACCGTAAGAAATCTCGGAGTAATATTTGATCAAGATTTGTCTTTTAACTCCGATTTAAAACAAACTTCATGGACTGCGTTTTTTCATCTGTGTAATATTGTGAAAATTTGGACTATCCTGACCCAAAAAGATGCAGAAAAATTGGTCCATTATCAGGTAGCTCTAATAAGTCTTTCGAAACTCTCCAGCTAATTCAGAATGCAGCAGCACGTGTACTGACAGAAAGGCGAGAACGCATTTCTCCTGTTTTACCTTCTCTGCACTGGCTCCCTGTTAAATCCAGAATTGAATTTAAAATCCTACTCCTAACTTATAAAGCTCTAAATGGTCAGGCTCCGTCATATCTTAGAGAGCTCAAAGTGCCTTATTGTCCCACCAGAACACTGCGCTCTGAGAACGCAGGGTTACTCGTGGTCCCTAAAGTCTCCAAAAGTAGATCAGGAGCTAGAGCCTTCAGCTATCAGGCTCCTCTCCTGTGGAATCATCTTCCTGTTACGGTCCGGGAGGCAGACACCATCTCCACATTTAAGACTAGACTTAAGACTTTCCTCTTTGATAAAGCTTATAGTTAGGGCTGGCTCAGGCTTGCCTTGTACCAGCCCCTAGTTAGGCTGACCTCCTATAATACACCGGGCACCTTCTCTCCTTCTCTCTCTCTCTCTCTCTCTCTCTCTCTCCATTTTGCTAACACTCATGTCCTGTTACTGCATCTTACTGCAATATTATTACGTTCATTAATGTTGTTGTAAGCTACTGTCATTACCATCTGTCCTGCATCTCTCTCTGTCTCTCTCACTCTCTCTCTCTGTCTCATTGTGTCATACGGATTACTGTTAATTTATTATGTTGATCTGTTCTGTACGACATCTGTTGCAGGTTGCAGGGTTTTTTTGGGGAGTTTTTCCTTATCCGCTGTGAGGGTCATAAGGACAGAGGGATGTCGTATGCTGTAAAGCCCTGTGAGGCAAATTGTGATTTGTGATATTGGGCTTTATAAATAAAATTGATTGATTGATTGAGTTGCAAATATTTACAGACCCAATGAAGACGACCCACATTTTTTTCAATCATCTCAATAATTTTTCCGACTCAGCAATCATAGTAGGGGGGGATTTTAATACAATCCTTATTCCAAATCTTGACAGATCAAACCCTGGAAGCACTCACAGAACATGGCAGTCATCTGATATTATTAAAAAATACATGGAAGACCTCGGACTTAGCGTTTGTTGGCGAACCAAAAACCTACTTCATAAAGAATACACATACTACTCACCCCCTCACAAAAGTTACTCTCGCATTGACTACTTTCTTGTAAGTAATTCTATCATACCTCAAATTAACAACTCAGAAGTTCACCCAATAATCATCTTAGACCATGGCCCAGTCAGCTTTGATATAGTGCAAGAATCCACACAAATCCCATCAAGTAGGTGGCGGTTCAACACTTGACTCCTAGCAGACACAGATTTCAATAACCTTCTCAAGAGAGAGTGGACATCCTTTATAGAATTGAACGACTCCCCAGAAATATCTCCATCTGTACTTTGAGAAACAGCAAAAGCAGTCATCAGGGGACACATCATCTCATACTCTACCCACAAGAACAAAAAGAAACAAGAAAATCAACAACAACTGAAGCATAAACTGAAACATCTTCACTCTCAACAATTCTGCAACCCCACTGAACATACTCAAAATGAAATACAGAAAGTTAAAATACAGCTGGATAACATAATACATCAACAGACCCAATTTCTCATGCAAAGAACAAGACTGAATTATTTTGAACATAATGAAAAATCAGGTAAATTTCTTGCAAAACAACTGTAAAGAAACAAAGAAAAATCTCTTATCACAACAATTCAAGACACTCAGGGAAATTTAATATTAAACCCAAAAGAAATAAACAATATTTTGTAATTACTATCAAACCCTCTACCGCTCAGACAATGTAACAAATATCTCCGCCATCCACTCCTTTCTCAACAATACTGAACTACCAAAAATAACAGAAAAACAAGCAACCATATCAGACCGACCCTTAAACTTAGAAGAACTCAGGAAAGCCATCTGCCCAACAACAAATCACCCAGTTCAGACGGCTATCCAATAGAATTTTATAAACACCACTGGCAACTAATATCTCCCCTTTTTAACAGAATGGTCAATGAAATCAGATCATCAGGAACCATACTCACACACATGAACTCAGGTCTTATCTCGATTCTGCTCAAACCTGACAAAGATCCAACTCTGACCTCCAGCTACAGACCAATAAGCCTGATCAACTGTGACTTAAAAAGGTTAAGCAAAGCATTAGCCAACAGATCAGAAACAGTCATACCCACAATAATTCATCCAGACCAAACAGGATTCATAAAAGGCAGGCACTCATCCACCAATATGCGTTGTTTATTCAACCTCCTCAGTCTATCCCAGAGAAACCAACTCAAAACCATAATCACATCATTGGATGCAGAAAAGGCCTTTGACAAACTCAAGTGGACATTTATTTTTACCACCATTGAAAAGTTTGGTTTTGGGGAGTCGTTCACTCGCTTGATCAAAACTTTTTGTAATTCTCCGTCCGCTTCAGTTATAACCAACAATATCACCTCTCAACACTTTTTACTACAATGGGGCACAAGACAAGGATGTCTGCTCTCTCCATTACTGTTCGCAATACTCATTGAACCTCTTGCAGCCGCCATTCGTCAAAATACTTACATTACTGGTATACAAACAAATCACTTTCACCACAAGATTAGTTTATATGCAGACGATATCCTGCTGTACTTAACAAACCCCACAACAACCCTCCCGGAAGTCTTCAATCTCGTTTCCACATTCTCAAAGATTTCTGACTACTCCATAAATTGGTCAAAATCTAAAATTCTCCCACTCTGTGAAAGGGACTGGAATGCTGCATCTAAAAAAAACTCCCTGATAATAAAAACAGGCAACATTAAATACCTTGGTATCAGTGTTTCCACCAAGCTGTCAGAGCTATTCTCTCTAAACTACATACCATTACAAAAAAGCATTGAAGAAGACCTTACTTGCTGGAACAACTTGCCAATCTCATTAATCAGAAGAATAGCAGTAATAAAAATGACCATACTGCCCAAAATAAACTAGCTTTTTTCTATGACTCCAGTCC